CAGCAGCAGCAGCAGCAGACCTGGGCATAAGAGACTTTTTTGAAATCGAGCTCAGCAGTGACCTCGTGGAGCTGCCGCCTCAAATCCTGAAAAATAAAAAATAAAAAAATTAAATTAAAATAAAAAATAAAAAACTAAAAATAAAAAAATAAAAAACAAAAATAGAAAAGAAAGAAAAGATATCAACATAATAGATAAAAGTAAAAGAGAAAAAAGAAAAATAATAATTTATTTACAGAGAGCCAAAGTCCTTCGACTCCTCGCATGCAGTTTGTCGATTTAAGTAAATAAATAAATAAATAAATAAATAAATAAATAAATAAATAAATAAATAAATAAATAAATAAATAAATAAATAAATAAATAATAAATAATCTTTATTTAAATGATTAATTAATTGATTAATTAATTGGCTTTTATTTATTTATTTGTTTATTTGCTACGTCGGCCATTGACCAGCGGGCGAGGACAGTGGACCATTGGTCCAAATAGAATTATTTAAAATTAAAAGAAAAAAGAAATAATATTTGAGTGGAATAAGAGAACTTTGAAAGTCTTTTTGGCGACAAAAGAAGTTCCAAAAAGACTAAAAAGAATTAAAAATGAAAAAAGAAAAAAGAGTTTCAGTTGCTGCTGCGTTTGGTGCCGCGGGCTGCGGTGTCTAGACACCAGGAAAAAGGCAAAGGAGGCCCAACAAGCGCCAAATTGAACGAAATTGAACACAAATAAATATTTATTTAATTTATTTTCGTTTATTTGTTTATTTATTCTTCATTTCGAAGTCCTACGAGGATTCTGGCGTCGTCAGACGGCAGCTCTAGACCCAGACGCTGCAGCAAAATCAAGTTCCGCAGCTTGTTCGTCCGCAGCGATAAATCCGCAGGATTTGCCTCGTTTTCGGCTTCTTTCTGCTGCATTTTGGCTTTCCAACAAAACAAAAAACAAATAATAAATAAATAAATAAATAATGGCATTTAAATCCGCAAAAATGGCGGCTTGGAGCCGTCAGAATCCGCAGCAGCAAGTGCGAGCTTTCGAGTGTACGTACACCCCAGAGAACGAGCGCGAGACCGACTGCCAACCAGAACTTGTTTATTGCGAATATATTTACTTTTTATTGAATAAATAATCCATTTAAATGCAAATTTTTGTTTGCTTTTCAATTATTTGTTGTTTTAAAACAAGAAATGCATTTAATTTCATCTTTTTCGCGTTTGCCTTCCGTTGGCGACCCCAGCGGACACCGCAGGCAACAGTTGGCGCGCTGAAGTTCGTTTTTTTTCGGGAAATGAAATAAATAAAGGTTTAAAATTGAGAAAAAATATAAATAATTAAATAAAATTAAATAAAATTAAATAAAATAAAACAAAACTATTTTGTTCAAGCCCTCAGAGCCCCCTCGAGGTCACCTCGCTCTCGCACGCCAGCAGCTCCTTCCAGCACAACTTCCTCCATTCTCCGTTTAAAATTCCACTTTTCAGTTTTAAATAAATTCAATTTCCACTTTTCAATTATAAAGCAAACCCTGAGGCCCCTGGGGGCCCCCTTTCAAGTCCGTGGGGCCCCCGGGGGCCCCTGGGGGCCCCCGGGGGCCCCTGGGGGCCCCCTGGGGCCCCTGGGGGCCCCGGGGGCCCCCAGGGGTCTTTACAGCAGCAAGTGCCTCAAGAGCATTTCTGCTGCTGCATCTTTAGAAAGAATTTAAATAAAATTAAAAAAGAATTTAAATAAAGTTTATTTGTTTCTTTTCTAGACATGGAAAATAAGAAATAAAAAAAAAGGAATAGATAGATACGCGCGCGGTCGCGAGGTTGAAAAATTAGGGTTTAGGGTTTAGGGTTTAGGGTTTAGGGTTTAGGGTTTAGGGTTTGGCGATGGAATCTGAGAAAGAATTCGCGAAGAAATGCGAAGAGTATGCCGAGGCGCAGGGCCTTAGAGAGCTGCTGCAGCAGCTGCTGCGGCTGCTGCTGCTGCAGCAGCCGCAGGACCCGCTGCAGTACTTAATAGACTATTTGAAGCAGCTGCAAGACACTGAGAACAGCAGCAGCAGCAGCATGAGCGACCTGCTGCAGCAGCAGCAGCAGCAACAGCAGCAGCAGCAGCAGCAGGAACAGCAGCAGCAGCAGCAGGAACAGCAGCAGCAGCAGCAGCAGCAGCAGCAGCAGCAGCAGCGCCGCGTGGGGCCCCCGCTAACGCTGGTGCTGCTGGGGCTGCCTGGCAGCAGCAGATCTCAGGTGTCTGTACACCTCGCCAAAAAGTGGGGTTTGGAAATTATTTCTGCAAATCAAATTTTAAAAACTTTTGCAGAAAAACATCCCAAAAGCGAAGCAGCAAAAGCTGTTGCTGCCAACGAACTCGGTCCGCTAGCTGCTGCTGCTGCTGCTGCTGCAGCTGCTGCTGCTGTTGCTGCTGCTGCTGCTGCTGCTGCTGCTGCTGCTGTTCGGCGCGCCTGTTGCTGCTCTTCGCCGTTGCTGTTGCTGTTTCTGCTGCTGCTGCTGCTGCT